TAATTTGCTGCAATATAAATGAAAACTCTGCATCAAACAACAAAACTATCCTGGAATCAGTTTCTTTGCAAAATATGAATGGCAACAACAAAGAAAAAAAAAGTCCCTTAAACTTTTAAAGACAACAAAAAGAAAATAGTGATCAAAATAGAATCTTTTTTCTTTTTCATTTTTCAGTTATTTTATTGTTTAAAAAAACTTGGTGTGCAATTAGACTTTGGATTAAATATCAAACACAGATAATTGAAAAAGAAAAAGTAGAAAGTGATTCTATTGTGTTTGTAATTCTCAATAATATTCCTCTCACAATTATCGGCTAGGACCCAAGTACTCTAACTGGGGTCATCCATATTGATACGTCGGAGAAGCCTGCGGTATGAATTTATTTTTGTAGTTTTAGGTGAGGTGATTGAGGAATCAGGATTAATTTAGTTTGGCTAATGAAGGACAGTTTTTTTTTAACATGTTTTCGGGGAAGTTATTGAAGTAAGATGCAGTTTTGATTTTTTGCTTAAATTTGGGAATAAAGAGATGGAAGATATGTAATGGGGTTGACTCCAGTTATAATATAGAGCTCCTAGGTACACCTTGCAAGTTGTACCTAATTTGAAATTTTCAATTTTTTAATATCTCTCTTAATTTTCAGTCATCATTAATCATATCCATCCAACTACCTATTCCAATGCAAAGACGTCTCAAACTAAAAAATCTAAAAAATAAAATATTCTCTGCAGTGATTTGGTATCGAAACCTCTTGTCGGTAGTATTTTTGAAGACGAAATCCGATTGTGCATTAAATCTCGTGAGTTTGGTTGCAATATACACTACTGAATATGAGAATTATGGTAAGATTTAAGGATATTTATCTGTTTTGTGTTTTGTCCGGAGAATTTTGTTTGAAATTCTCAAAATCTTTGATTGGTATTTTTGAATTACCAGTTCCAACTAGTTCGATGAATTGCTAGAGGTTTATGGATTTAGATCTCTTGCGAAAAAAGAACAAAATTCAGATTTTGTGAATCGCCAGAGGTTTATGATTGGGTTATAATCTTTTCAACAATTGATGTGTTTTTTTGATTGGGTTATGTAGATATAAGGTACGTGCATTCGATTATAGATTTTTGTTCATCAATTTTTAAGTTTTCTTCATTGTTCTGTTGTTGGTTTTGGAAAAGACTAATAGATCTGGGCATTATTCAATAGTTCGTATTCGATATTCATCCTTGAACTAGCAGATTCATCATAATAATTGTGTTATTAGCTGATTATTCATATTTTTTTGGTTAGGTTATGTATATCTAAGGTCTCTGCATTCAATTATAAATGGTAGTTCACCAATTCGTTAGATTTGTTCATCCATTGGTTGTTGATTTTGGAAGGGTTCCAGATATGTTCATGATTTCAGCAGTTACTCTGCCATTATTCATCGATAATATATGGTTATTCATCATAATAATGGTGTTATGTGATTGTTATTTTTTTCTGTTAATTGTTATTCATTTGAGTAGATAAATGGAACATTATATTTTGGTCATATTCATCTGTACTATTTGGTTATTCATCTATTTGTATGTTCAACGTGTTGTTCGAATGACCTATGCATATATATAGATATAGTTATTAATCATTAAAACTATAAGTATTCCTCCTAACGAAGTTATGACCCTAATACACTACATTTTCTAATTTTAATAAGTAAAACATAATAATTCATCATACATGTTAAGGTGGTTATCATTGGTGAAATAATTATTCATTAATATATAATGGTTATTCATCATATTAATCTGACATGTTATATAGTTTTAATGGTTATTCATCATTTTAAAGATGATTATTTATCTTCAATAGCCTTGTTATTGATGATTAACAAAGTTTTGATTGAATGTGAAATCTCACATATTGTAATATTGTTTTTGTTTGATTAGCGTCAAAAAAATGCTCATCAAAATGAACTCGATCGGTCGCGAATCAAATATTTGGCGGAGTTGCTGAAATCAAACAATCAACATAAACATATCGAGTATCGGCGGATCTTTCAAGATCTTATATGTTAAAAACAATGACTAGTTTTCCTGATCAATTTTGATATAGTTTACTTCATAATTAGAATTTTGTTAGCTTAGTTGCTGACATTATCTCATTGTAAAATATACTTTTGTTAGTTTTCTTGATCAAAGTTATTCATTCTGTTTTGCATTATTCATCCACTAACGATATATTATTCATTTATTAAAATACAATCATTCATCTTGCAAAAACTACATATATTCTTCATTTTAGTATTGTTATTCATCTAGGATGAGATAATTATTCATCAAGATTTGCATCATTATTCATCTTTGTGAATATTGTTACTCATTCATAAATGTACTTGTACACATATCCAGTTTTACCAAAAATAAAATCCATCATTTTAACCAAAAAAAAAATCTTATGAAATAAAATAATATAAAAGCTAATAGGATAAACACTAAAAAAAAATCAGTTTGAAACTAAACGTGTACTAAAAAAAGAGGGATAAAATTTGGAGAATTTAATGCGCGTGTGGTGTCTTAAAATTTGGACTAAAAGCTCAACTTGTATAGAAAGAGAGTGTATTACACATGCCCATGAGGTGCACCTAGCAAAGTATACCTATGCGCTTGTTATTATTTGCCAGGTTGACTCTTGTTTGGGAAGGAAATCAATTAATCTCAGCTTGACACATCAGCAAATTTTCTATCCTTGGTTTCTACAATAATAAAGTATATTGATTGAATTGATTGATTGAAATTAGAGTTAGTGAATTTGAATATAAGGAATATTTTTTATTTTGATTTTTCATAATTTTACTCGTAGAACTTCAATATTTTTTCCTAATATAAAACGATGAGACCACAACCATTATTTTAGTAGTGAAAAAGGTCAAATAGGAGCTTAATAAATCATTAAAATTTTCTCTGAAACAATTATTTTAGTCAAAATTAATTTTTAATGTATTTAGTTAGAGTTTTTCTAATCAAAACTACATAACATTGACTTGATATGTTTTAGGTAAAAAAAAAAAAAATCTTTTAACTACAATGTGATGTGTATTTTTTATTTTCTCTTTGATAGTTGTTTTAATAATAAAAGATAGTTTAGTTTTAACCAAAACGACGTAGTTTTGTTTAGGAAAGAGACATATTATGAGAGAGCAACACCTCATCACTTTTATTCTCTTAGACTTTTTTTTTTAATAGGGTATATTAAATATTAATTTGTTTAAACACTAACTACCATGTGTATTCTAAGTAGAGTAATGATACATACAAGGAAAATTTACATAGAAAACTTACAAGGAATGAGTTGTCAATCATCTAAACTATACCATAACCTTAAATACTTAAACCCCAAATGGAAAGTGTTAAAAATGAATAGTTATGATTAATTTCTTGTTATTTTCCTTGTTATTTTTTCCTTGTACGAATCATTATCCTTCTAAGTATTTGATAATTATAATCAAACCATATTGATTAACAAACTAAACACTTATGATAAAAGGAACGTTGAGATTGGAATGAGTTTTCATGGCTTTGAGATATCCCTATACAACTTTGCTAAGGGTTATGCTCGAGCGGTTTGAGGGGCACAATCTAGCGGTCGTCACTACTTAAAATAATTGTAATTATAATATTTTTTCCTATTAATACTTTAATTATACTAACGATACATTTAATGTGTTACTACCAACATTCATAATCGATATGCTAATTAACTATTATTTAGTGCCAAATGTTTGAGACAAGTATACAACACAAACATGTGGCCCGTATCTGTCAGGCACTTAACCCATGTTAAGGTTAAATTCATAGTTACCAAATGTGAGTATGATACCGATGTGCTTAACTCTTCTCTCAACAAGCTTCTTTCTCAATCGGAAGGTCCCCAGAGGAGGCATCTTCGACCCACGTGGGGGCTTCTCCCAAAATGGTCTAATCAAATTTTGCTTTGAATGGGAAGTGGTGGATTTCAGTGTTACCTTTGATTCACTTAGATGGGTGGAAGAATTTGATGGTGGAGAATTATCTGAATCGAACCATAGAAAAGTTGAAGAAGAACAGCAGAAAAAACGAAGAATGATGACACGAGTACTCCCACCACCACAGTGGCATGATAAATCATCAGGAAAATTGAATTTTGATTCGCATTATCTTTGGAAGGACTGTTAGTCATCCAAGTCCAAGCCATTTCTGGTTCTGCTTGCTGCGATTTGCATCGCAATCAGTTATACTTCCCCAAGAAAACCCACAAATTAATTGTGTCGAAGATCAAAATTTTCAATCCAAAATTTATCAAATTATTTAAAAATACGTTTTTCTTTTCTTTTCTTTTCTTTTTTTGTTTGCCTAATGCACATGCACAACTGCATTAATGGGTTGTGGATGTTTTAAGTAGAATGTGCTTTAGCTAGAGCGGAAGTACTATACATAAATCAATCAGGCCCGAGTTTAATTTAGCTTTAGGGTGGCAAAAATGAGAAAAGATGGTGAAAATCAAGGAAAGCATTCATCATTAGACTTGTCGTCTAATTATAATTAACAGTCGACCTCGACCCTGATAATAATTAATAAGGCGTGCGTGGTTAAAATTTATCGAAAGAGTTTTACTTTTCAAAAGAAATATATCTAAATTTAGATTCAGAATTGCTTGCCCTAAGCCCTCCGAACACCGGATATATACATATGATTGAAAGCACTAAAACCGAATAAGTAAATTATTCCTCCAAAACCGATTGGTATTAGCTGATTGCCGATGACGGCAAATCAAGAAATTAATTGTTCATATCTCTAGTAATTCTTTTCCTCACAATATTAATCTACCATTACCAAAACCCATTTGTCAATCAGTCCATGCAGATTTTGTCGTCTCAAGAAATTTAAAAAATTCAGTAGAGAACAACGTAGCGGCATTGTGTGATCCTCTGCTTATCATATCTTCCAACTGGATAACTAGCCCCACCAACCATTGAAAAGTCACAACCAGTGAATAATCATCCCTCCCAAAAAATTCCCTATCCATCCATTTAATTCCCATCAATAACTCCTTCTTCACCTCTCCTCTCTATGGCTCTATCTAAGTACTAACATATCAAAAAACCCGTCCAACAAATCGCAATGGTGTAAATGTTATCCGACGACTTCAACCACCACCAAGTCCACCACAACCACCGCGATTCGGAAAGCCGGCCGGAGCCGCCAATCCAAGATGATCATCATCAGCAGCCAACACCACAACCAAGAGTCTTAACCATCTTATCTTACGTGCTAGAAAAGCTTGTGGCTCGAAACAACCACCTTGTTTTGAGCAATAATGGAACAACAAGTAGTTATCATGATGATGATCAGCATCATCATCAAATGAGGAAGAATTATTTGAAGGGTTTTGATGGGGTTAGAGCACCAAGTATTAGTATTCCAAAATATTTGGAGAGGATTTATAAGTACACAAATTGTAGTTTATCATGTTTTGTGGTGGGATACGTGTATTTGGACAGATTAATTCATAGGTATCCTGACTCACTTGTGGTCTCACTCAACATTCATAGGCTTCTTCTCACTTGTGTCATGGTCGCTTCCAAGATGCTGGATGACGTGTAAGTACTCTTCTTCTCTTGTAAATTTACTGAATTAAAACAGTACGATAAATTCAAATTTCTGCTTTTTTTTTTGGACGGAGTTTATTTTTTCATGTAGGTTGAATTTTAAATTTTTTTTTCTTTTTTTTTGCTTTTGAAAACATTTGTAGGAATTGCAACAATGCATTTTTTGCTCGAGTTGGGGGAGTGACGAATTCCGAGTTAAACAGGCTTGAGTTAGAGTTGCTTTTCCTGTTAGATTTCCGAGTTGTAGTGAGTTCAAATGTGTTTGAAACTTACTGCCATCATTTGGAGAAGGAGATGCATCGGAATGGAGCGACACCATTAATCACCAGTTTTGCTGCTCATAATGCTACAGACGTTTCAGTTGAAGCTCACAGTACTACTTCGAATAATTCTTCATCTCCTGATCCAAAAATAAAATAAATTTAATTTAATCGAGATTTGTATTCTTTTTTTTTTTTCATTTTTATGATTAATTTTCTTATCTTATAATAGTTGAAACTTTTTCAGTGCTCCCGTAATTAAATGTATACACGAATTTTCAGTCACGAATTTTCAAGAAATATATATTAAATGTATTTACTTACATACATGAGGTATGAAAATACTAATAATTAACCTGACCGAAGAAAAGTGGGGGGAGAGAGAGAGGGGGGAACAAATATGTTGTCTATTGGATTTTCACATGTTAATTCAGATCACTTTGATATTTTGCCGGGTCATTAGATAAATTTGTTGAATTTTGAGGGTTGTGAAACGTAATTAATCAACTTAAAAAGTTTTAAAATTACACGAGTACACGTTTATTATTGAAAAAAAAATAAAAATTAGATGGCTAAACTAAAAAAATTGAGAAGATGGAGGAGAACAGAAAGTGAGAAAAAATGGTAGTAGTAGTTTATAAGGTTCTAAATAAAAACATGAAATAGAAATCTGCAGCCATAATACTTTTTTTTTTTTTTTTTTCGCCGTTTTGAGAGAGAAAAGTGTTGTAACGTTGGAAATAAAATAAGACTTGGGAAAATATGGCAGCTTGGAAAAAATCTACAAAGATGCATACTCATTACTTAAGAAAAAAGAAAAAGAAAAAGACAAAGTAGGACACTGGAACCCCACTCTCTATGAGAAAAAGTTCCAAACTTGACCGTTTATTTTTGTAATCTTTGTTTTGTTATAATCCCCCGATTATAGCCAATATAATCCAATAACGATTAACGAGTAAAACCAAACAACTTAATTGTTAGTATGATTTTAGGGATATGATTGGTGATTTGTTTTTTGATCCGGTAATTAATGCCCTGATATGATTAGAATTAGGATAAGATCTTGTATAAATAGGCCAAGATACAGACTTAGTAAATACACAAATTTTTTTTACCAAATCCTTTGTTTTAGTCTCGGTTAATATGTCTTCTTCTCATTAATAAATATTTACTTCTTCTCTCAAAAAAATAATTATTGAGTATATTTTTTTTTTAGAAAAATAAAATTTACTTAAAACGAAAATTCAAACGAGACATTAATTTGAGATAGATTTAACGTTCATGCCTAAAGTCTTGTAAACTAATAAACAAGAAAACTACAATACCATTTCTGTTGGCTTTCAGTATTTACCCAGAAGCTGCCCTTGAGAAGTACCACTATCAAATACAGAGAAAACCATATGCTGATTTATCTAGTCGGTTGAACCATTCATTTATTTGTCCCGGTCTTAATCAAAACATCCAAAACTGATCAAATTGGAATGTATTGTTATTAAACCGAGCTTGACTCGGTGTTCTGCCCTGCATCCATATATAGCCTAAGAAAACTTATGAGAAATGATTTTAGGTTAGTTAAATCTCTTTGTGAATTCTTTTGAAAATATATATAATGATCGAATTCTTTCAGCAATTAATGTAAACGGAACTTTCTCACATTTAATTATGCTCACTTAAATATGACACACTATTGAACCCATATCATATTTAAAAGACAAACTAACATGAATTTTTTTTTTCTAATTGTCTAACCTTTTATATTCTCTTATTACTAACTGTTCGCACATATTATGAACAAATTCCCCTCTGAATCCTTCTTCTTTCTTAATAGTTCTGTACCTCGCAATGTCAAAAACTCCTCGCTACTTTTCTTTTTGATCTATACTATTAGAACTCTTGTATGGTTTTTGATATGCTTTCTTTTTTCTATTTATATGTGATCATTTCCTACCTTCTTTTTTTTTTTTAAGAAAACGATTTCCTTTAACATTTTCAACTCAAGGTAAGGGAATGCTCTTTCTAGCTACCTACTTGTTCAATTGGTTTAGTAACTGCTAAGCAAGACCATTTCTTTCCACCTAGTATAGGCCCTTAGCAACTTAATCCAAGATGACAAATTCAAAAGATTTCAAATCTGGAACTAGTGGAACTTGTAGAAATACAATACATCAATTTATTACTCAAAAAAATTTTTTCCTTAGAATTTTAGGCAAGAAGTAACAATTGTTTTCCACATAAGAATTTATAAATGTCTCACTCCATATTTAGCATTGTGTTTGCGAGTTCGTATATTTCGCTTCTCCAGTTTCTTGTTTAGACTTTTCATTAAATATTCTATCAAAAACTGATCAACGTAAAATAAAAATGTCTTATTTTGTATGTGGGTTGAGTGACACTTGTAAAATTTGAAATATGTTCGAAGATCTTTTAGTTCTTGAGATAATTCACATAATTCCATGTGTCAAGATTGAAGAATCTCTATATGCCTCTTGTTTCCAATTTATAATTACGTGAGGAAAATAAGCAAACTTCAAGGATGTTTCATCGAATATATTCCTACCTACATTAACTGCACGAAGTTAAAAATTTTGGGGTATCATTGTGATAATATTAGAAAGATTAGGGTCAATTTGCCACATGGTCTCATGGTTAAGGGAAGTATTTTGCAATTTACTAATAAATAAATATTTCTTCCGTGACCTTTTTCTCTCTCACACAGACACACACAGTTACTCTGTCTCTCGCCATTATCATCGAGGGGAAAGCTTCAAGGTCGCTGTACGACGTCGTTGTCAGTTTACTCCTTCCTCGGAAGGGCGCAACGTAGAGGCCATGGCTGATAATTCAAAGGAAGAATTTATTCAACTAGTCAAGCGATTTGGGGCATTTCTTACCCTCAAGATTTCCAACATATTCCAGAGACTGGTAATTTCTGTGATTTTATTTTGTTTAAACTCATTCGAAGCGTCGCAGTGATCCTGACGTTTATTCATCTAGCTCTTTAATGGATTGATTATGTGATCGGTTTTGGCTGAGATTCTTTCTTATCACGTTAACTCCCATACGCGTGTGCTGTTTCGAATTACATTAACTGCAATTTTCAATGGATTAGGTTTGTACATTGTTCATTGCAGTTTTGCTTTTCTTTTCTTCCATCAGTTTCCTTAAGAAGGTTAGCTCAAAGAAGCTTGAAACTTGGGAATTAGTTGAAGACTGAGTTGAATAACGCGGTGCAAGTTCATTTTGATAGCCGGACAATGGGTTGATTTTGATTGAGGAAATTCTAGAATAATGTTCAATTTCGCTAGTGGTGTTAAAAGTAAGGGAGATGGTTAAATTATACGGTTCTTTTATTTGCCCTGTGAAAGCCGTCCTGTATCATAAAGAAGCTGAAAATTGTGAACTTTTTAGGGCTGTTATTGATATGCAAATTTTTCAAAGTAAGTATACAATCTCTCTTTTTATTTTGTGATCGTGTTGGGAATTAGTTTGGTTCTAGCTATAATGGAAGATATCTTCTTAGTTGAACCGTTAATCCAAATGAATAGGACTGAAAGACCAGTGGTTTTATTTGATTTGTTTCTCGTTCCTTGCTCTTGCTGTGTTTTGATTCTGTTATTCATGCAAGTGTGAAGTCTATGCGTTGATTTTTTAGTTTTTATCTATTTTTTACATTATCAAAGTTCAGTTATACATGTGATCACATTATAATGTGGTTCTATGGAATTAAATCCTTTAATGAAAGCGAGGGTGAGTATGGGGGCTTTTTTTGAGCTGTAATCCTATGTATCATTCTGCCTGTTGATTCTTCTAGACAAAAGTGTGTAACAAGCTTATTTCATTGTTTGTACATTTGCATACATCGCAATTTCGTCTGTTTGAATGCTGTATTCTTCTTTGATTTTCGCCTAGTCACTTACGCTAACACTAAACAATTCGACCATTCATTGTTGGCCGTTGGACTTTTTGCTCTATAAAAAGGAGGCATCCCTACCAGCCATGCTCGCCAATTCTTTTACCATACTTATTCAGGTCTTTTCGAGCTTGGTTTAGGGATTTATTAGGCTGCAGTTTCATCCACCAAGAAATCTTCCAAGACTTTGTCCAAATGGGGCATCTAAACTTGCATGAACAAAACACAGACTCTGATATGTTATCTACAGTCATACAATGATATAGAGAGTAGTTTCTGGGTTTACTTATAGAAGGAAATGGTACGGGATTATATGACTTTAGTGTAAAAGTTTTAAGTTGAAGAAGCTTTGTTGGACAGATTTTTAAATGTCTCCTTTCAATCAATTTTCTTAGATAAACCAAAACTGAAAACAAGCAGACTTAAAAAGCCTTTTTTTTTGGGGCATTTATACTTTGTATGCCTTAAAAATTTATAAACCATCGTAACCGTGAACAGGTATATAACTAAAAAGGAGGTGTATATCACCGTTGAATGAGATTGAAAAGATGTTACTCATTTTCAATGTTTTGTATTCTTTCTGTAAATTATGAGTTTCGTAATGTGAGGAATTTTGCTTTTGTCGTTTGTTTTTGCTATTTTGCATGATTACTTGTTGCCTGCTGAGTTAGTATCTGGCTCCCCTAAATTTTGCCAAATGGTTTGATGATAGAAAAATTGTATGTTTCTTCAACACACCTCAAGATTTTAAGCAAATAATAATAGCTGGCCCTCCATGCCAACTTATCAAACGAAGCAATAAAACCATGGATATTCAGTTTAGGGTATGCAATAAAAATATTGGGGCATTCGATAAAGGATGATATATTAATGGGAAGGTGGGGTAACGTATATAATTAATATTAGAATCAGAAAAATACTTCTACTTATGTCATTCTCGGGCTGTTTCAGGATTCACGGTCCGCAGGAGCTTTAGCTGGGCTTGCATTTGCATTAGTTTTCACCTGGAGAATATTGAGGTCTCCTCCTGGATCCCAAAGGAGGTTGCCTAAACGACAAGCTACGGCACCCAGTACTTCTGGCGTTAGTCATGCAAATGCAGATCCATCGGCATCCATTATTCCAACCTCTTCAGAAGATTCCAGAGCACAAAATGCAATTGATGAATTTTTTCAGACTGCAAAGGTAGGAGCGCCATAATTTTAAAGTATTGAATTCAATCAGTGTACTAGTGCATTGCAACAGTGTGGGCTTAATTATCTATTCCTTGCAGCCAACTTTGGGGCAAATAGTGAGACAGAGATTAAGTGAAGGGAGAAAGGTAAAGTTTCTTGTTCTGTCATTCTTCTTAACTAGCTAAGCGGTGAATTATATGACTGTCTAATAGCAAGATATGAAACTGTCTTGGGGTCGTGTTTGTGACTAGAGAGTGTAGGAGAATTCATTGCTCTCATATAGGCGGATAGACCATTCGAAATAGATTTCAACTTGTGGATGTTTCATTATTCTAGGGATTTAGTTTGACTTGTCAGATATCATGTTCTGAAATTCCTTTAGCCTGGAAAAAGGATGCTGAAGCCTTATGTCTAGGTTTTATCTTTCTACTTTTGTGTTCATGGAGAAACCGTAGAGATTCTGTGCCTGTAACTTCAAGTTTTTCATGAATTTCAGATTTTCTTTGTTTTTGCAGGTGACATGCAGGTTACTTGGTGTAGTCCTTGAGGAGACGTCTCCAGAAGAACTTCAGGTTGTTACACCTTTCAGTAATCTTTGTCAAAGAGAGAAAATTCTAGCAGTATTTGACTTCTCTTTTGCTTTCTTATTAGCAGAACCAAGCAACTGTTAGATCCTCTGTACTGGAAGTATTGCTTGAGATCACGAAATTCTGTGATCTTTATCTGATGGAGAGAGTATTGGATGATGAAAGTGAGGTGAGTGTCCTTTTCGGTCACTTTATTGCATTCTTTCCTCTATTTTCACTTGCAATATGCAGGAATATCTGGTACTGCGAAGTCCTGGTGGCAAGAACCTCTATACAGATGGCATTTCAATTTCCGTTTAGTTTTCTGTTGTAAATGTGAATTTTTGTTGACCATTTATGAAGGTTGCTACTGTACAAATTTAAAACAGAAGCTATATTGTTGCTATTTCTTTTCTTGTTTTGTCTCGAGAATATATGTGTTGGCTGTTCGTGAACATTGCCTAAGCAAAATTTATTCAGTCTATGCCCCTTTTAACATTCCTGTGATTTCTTGTTGTCACTCAGAAGTTTTTTGTAGAGGCAGTGAGCCATAGTTAAATTGCCTGATTAAGCTTGCACATTTTGTTGGAAATCTGACTTAACGATTGATTTTAAGTGTATTGCATTTACATGGCGAGTAGCATTGGCACAAATATTTGTTCATGGCCAATGTTCTAACTATGTGTGCAACATTTTTACAATTTTCATTTAGGAAGTTGCAGTGGTGGCTGAAATATGATAGTTTGGCATAATGATGTTGCAGAATATTCTGTTACCATTTGTGTGAAATAGTGTTTTCTTTTCTTTTATTTTTTTTTAAAATTTTTTTATTTTTTAAACCATGGATTGGAAAATTGGTCCACTGATTTGAAGATTGAATTCTTGCAGAAAAGGGTTCTCCTCGCTCTTGAAGAAGCTGGGGTTTTTACATCTGGTGGCCTGGTGAAAGACAAGGTACCACTGCAATTCATGATTCACGTTACCATGATTTTTGTGATACCCTTTGAATGCTATTCTATCAATATAACTGTTGAAAAGGTTCCCATCTTCATTTAGCCAGTGGAAGAGTGTTTGTGATTTTTTTTTTCCGTCTTTAATTAGTTTCAATTCTGTAGTGAAGATCCTTTATCATGGAAAATGAGATGACATAGATTGAAGATATTTGTTTTCCAACTCCAAGTCTCCAAAACTATCTGGCTCTTAAATGCACTAGTTGATTGTATTTTGAACAGTAAGTATCAGGGGTAGCACTGTAGACTTAAGCTACATAAATCATATGTTCCCTTTTCTGTCTAGCCTTTGGTTGCTTGAGTGATGGGGATTGCAGTTATTCGTTTCTCTTTTTGGGTTGGTACAGAAATGGTGGCATCGTGTATCTTGGACCTTGGAAGTTAAATTTTTTTTCTTTTCAAAACTTTCCTATCTCTGTATTCAGTTGTTGATGCTGGGGATTGGCTGAATTGCCATTAATTCTTAATATGTGGTTGGCTTTAGTTAAAATTTTTAGTGTTACTGGGCTTAGTCATTTTTCTTTTTTTTTTTTGTGGCTTGGACCTGCAGGTTCTGTTTTGCAGCACAGAGACTGGACGGACATCCTTTGTGCGACAACTGGAACCAGATTGGCACATTGACACAAACCCGGAAATTGTTACTCAGTTAGCGGTACGACTTAACTTCACTTCATATTACTTAGTAACTCCATGAATAGATAAATATGAGAGGAATAATTATCAAACTGTATCAGAATCAAGTAGAATTTTCCAGATGCTATGTTTAAAGTATTTCTATCATTCCAAGAAAATGGATCTACCATTAGAAGAACATCTCAACTCTCCATCAATTTCTTAAATTTTTATCATTTATCACCAACCAGCCACCAGTTATTTAACAGTCAAAGCAACCGGTGGCTGAATGGTGAGATTACGACCATATTGAAATTTGGTTACCAATTCCATCGATGGTGGCTGCTGTGGCAGTTTTTGAGAAGGTTATTAAAAAAAATATGAGACCAGGGTTTACTCACTACATGCATGTTTATATGGCTTGTAAGTTGTGACACACTCATCTGTTAGGTGGCCTTATGGAGGTTAATCATTTCGAGTCTGATAAACCATATTTTTTCATGGATTGATTTGCAAAAGTTGGCAGTTTCAAAATTCAATTCAGTTCCTTTAGTTTGGATAGGTTATATATTATGTTCCTTCACTCCCAGTGAACACTTTTGTTCCCATTTTGTTCACCTTGGTGTTGTATGGTTACAGAGATTCATCAAGTATCAGCTTCAAATTTCACCAACCAAGCCCGAACGATCTGCCTCTAATGTTTTTAGCTCGACATCCTTGGAACAGTTTTTTGGATGCGTGTGATGTGCACAAAAGTAGCTACCTTGTCCTTTTCTTTTCCCCACCTTGGACATGTATTAATTGCAGTTTTTGCTGGTCTGGATTTATAACAGAAGAACGAACACAATCTGTTTTTCCATGTACAATTATAGACTCTCTACTACTCGAGCCTCTAGTGATGCTCCATATCTTAGTTTTCATACTTTTGGTGACGAATTAAATGATGCGAGAACTGTACAGTTTTTCTGTTTTGTTTTTTTTTTCCTCTTAAATAATTGTCTTTGGTTCCACAGAAATGCCTCTTGAGTGTGAAATGGAAAGGAACAAAGTGTTCGGAAGTGTTTTTTCCTCCCATGCTTACTTTTTACCTACCTTATTTTCAAATGTTTAATCTCGATTAAATTTTAGTAAATGGAAACCATGCTGGTACTTGCATTTGATATGATTCCGGAACATTTTGATTTGATTTTTTAACAAAACTTCGGTGCTTGAGAACGCCTCCAATTCAGCACGAAAGATGATTTTGGACAACAATGGACGATGTAAGGAATTAACTAAAACAGGAGAAGAAATCATTTGCTCAAAATATTGAATCTGTTGTAAATAAGTGAATGACAAAAGAGTAAAAAATATTTACCTACTAAAATAGTTACATTAAATGTAAAGAAGGAAAATTGAGGCCAAATATCTACTCATATATATATATATATATATATATATATATATATATATATGAGTTTCCAAAATGAAAAATGTACTGAAGACCTTACTCCTTCCTCCCTCTCACTTTCTTTATGTCTTTAATTTATAAAGTGAATTTTTCCCCTTCTTAAATCTCATAAGATATTTCATTATATTTAAAGTAGTAGAAAGTTATAATAATAAAATTCCTAGTATAGAAGTTAAATAAATCATTTCTACTTAAATAATTAGTTACCTTTGCGTTGGATAATTATATTTAGACCTAGTTTTATAATACGTAATCAGTACGACATCTCTACAATATACAAAGGTATAAAATTTTTAATCTAAATATTTACATTTCATATGGATGGTTCTATAACACCTCCTAATTTATATTCAAGTCATCTAATTTCTTGCAATTTATTTAAAGACTTGTCCTTGCACAAGTCTTGAGTTCTATTTTTATAGCGGGATTCTTTAATATATCCCTATGTAAATATTTATATAATTTACATTTTTGTGGAATGACTTCATATATCCCTAATGTATTTATTTTCAGATCTTTTATTAAATTTTCACTATGGGATGTTTTTCTATGTCCCTATATACTATATATAATCTATGATGGGATGATTGATAAATCCCTACTACAATTATTTGTCTCTAACAAATTGTTTATTTTTAATTTAATTGAGTGTATGATAAATTTATATGTCCTCTCTCAATTATTACTTAGTTGTTTTATCTTGATTTATTTAAATTTTAACATTATTTATATAAATATAATGATACTTTTACGTATAAAAATACGTAAATAACAACTGTTTTTAACAGATATGTTAACGGCTATATAACGGCCAAAATCTTAAGTTTTTTCTATAAATATATCATTTCTAAATCTTATTTATACACCTTCACAATATTCTCCTTCTTTCTCTTCTTATTTTCTAAAAAAAAAAACGTCTTTCCTTTCTCTCTTTTGCATGATAAAAGTTCATATATATATTGTTATGATATTTTTTCTAGAAGAATTCGATGATTTTATTTTTCATTTAAGAGTTCTTCTAATATGTATTTTACCATTGTACTTCATTGCTTTATTCACTGAATAAATTCTTTTTAGTAGCTAAAATTATGTTTCTTTTGTGTTTTGTTTAGTTGTGAAATGTCTTCCAATTTGTCAAAGCTCGAATTCGAAATTCTTAAACACACAACTACCTATTTTTATTTGGGGCCATGCAATATTACATGCTGCTTCACCAATTTGAATAATGCCTAGAGCGGATCATAAATACTCCCCACTGCAATTGGCACTTGGATATGAACTAAATATTTCACATCTAAAAGTTTTTAGATGTGTAGTATATGTGTCTATTGCACACCGCACCGTACAAAGATGGGTCCCCAAAGAAGATTGGGGATATATATTAGGTTCGAATCACCTAGTATAATGAAATATCTTGAACCTTTGACGGGTGATGTTTTCACAGCACGTTTTGCTGATTGCGAATTTAATGAGGTTATTTTTCTGAAATTAGGGGGAGAAAGAAAAGAAGAGGTAAATGATATTGAATGGAGTGAACCATCATTGTTGTATCTTGATCCCCAAACAAAATAATGTGAAACAGAAGTGCAAAAGATCGTGCACTTACAAGCAATTGCAAATCAATTGCCAGATACTTTTACAGATACAAAAAGAGTGACTAAATCAAATATACCAGCAGTTAATGCTCCTGTCTAATAAGATGGATCTTAAGTTAAATCATTTGGGACTCTCAAGTCCTTTTTGGTAATTATATTTATTTTGATTTATTGTACAATATGTTTGAGGTTGGAATGTAAGAACTTCAAATAATAACGTCTAAGTTAAAGTATTTGTAGAAGTAATAAATATTTGAGAAATAGTATATATTAATTATGAAAGGATTTTACATAATGTTAGGTGACGAAAAAGGTTATGAATTGCTCGAAGAAGAAATTGCTTAAGCAATAAAGGTGCGTTCCCTCGCACGATGTACATGCTCGTTTAAGTGTTTATGTGAACTAAATGTTTATTTTATTATTATGTTTGAAAAGTGATAAATGATTTTAAGATCCGTGATAAATGTTTTTTTCTCTGATTTATGACAAACATTTTGAAATTGAGACTATATGCACGTACGATGTTGTGTGAAATTCCAGAAATAAAATCTGAGGATAAAGTCTCTCAAGAGTCAAAACTACATCTAAAACGTGGGAGACCGATTGGTTTAAAGGATAAAAATCCTCGAACAAGAAAGCGATCAGAAAATAATCTCACTGAAAATGTTCCTGAAGAACCAAAAGGCAAAGAAGATTCTCCCTATGAAAACACTGAAAAGGTGAATGAAGAAATCTCGATTAATTATAATAGTACAAGGATATGGTGGAATAGAGATGAAATTGAATATAATGTTGAGATTTTCTCTTACGCTGTTGCATGTGAAATTATAAATGGAAGTGATGATCCTGAACCAAAATCAGTTCAAGAATGTCAAGATAGGCATGATTGGATAAAATGAAAAGATGCTATGCAAGCTGAATTAGATTCGCTTAATAAGAGAAAAGTTTTTGGATCCATAGTTCTCACACTCAATGATATAAAACATGTTGGATACAAATGAGTTTTTGTACGAAAATGAAATGAGAAGAATGAGATCATGAGATATAAAGCTAGACTTGTAGCTCAAGATTTTTCACAAAAACCTAGAATTGACTATGATGAAACGTATTCACCTGTTATGGATGGAATTACGTTTAGATTCTTAATTAGCTTAGTAGTTTCTAAAAAATTAAAAATGCGTCTCATGGATGTTGTGAATGCTTATTTGTATAGATCACTTGACAGTGATATTTATATGAAAATCCCTGAAGGATTTAAGATGCCTAAAGCTTCAAGTTCAAAATCCAAAGAAATGTATTCAATTAAACTACAAAGATCATTATATGGGTTAAACAAGTCTAGACGGATGTGGTATAATCGTTTAAGTGATTAATAACAAATAAGGGATATACCAATAATGTTATTTGTCCATGCGTTTTTATTAAGAAAACAACACCTGGATTTGTCACCATAGCTGTCTATGTTGATGACTTGAACATCATTGGAACACATAAAGAAATTGATAATGTGGTTGCATACTTAAAGGAAGAATTTGAAATGAAAGATCTTGGAAAAACTAAGTATTGTCTAGGTTTATAAATTGAACATATGCATAATGGAATATTTGTGCATCAATCAAATTACACAAAAGATTTTAAAACATTTTAACATGGATAAAGCAAATACTTTAAGTACTCCGACGGTTGTCAGGACACTTAATGACGAAAAGGATCCATTTCGTCCTGTTAAAGACGATGAAGAGATTCTTGGTCCTGAAGTATCATATCTGAGTGCAATCGGAGCTCTTATGTATCTTGCTAATTCTACTAGACTTGATATTTCTTTTGCAGTCAATTTGTTAGCAAGACATAGCTCATCCTCTACCAAAAGGCACTGAAATAGAACCAAGCATATATTTTGTTATCTTCAAGGAAGTATTGATTTGGGTTTATTTTACTCTAACGACTCAAAATAAGAGTTAATTGGTTATGCAGATGCAGGTTATTTATAAGATCCTCATCATGGAAAATCTCAGGCTGGATATGTGTTTACATATGGAGGAGCTGTAATTTCTTGGGGTTCCCTGAAACAAGCAATAGTATCTACTTCTTCAAATCATGCCGAAATTATTGCATTGCACGAAACAAGTAGAGAATCTGTATAGCTCAGATCAATGACACAACTCATCAAGACTTCCCGTGGTCTTCTAGTTGAGAAAATTCCAACTATTTTGTATGAAGATAACGCAGCTTGCATTCACCAATTGGAGGAAGGATATATCAAGAATGATCGGACAAAGCATATTGCTCCGAAATTCTTCGCATATACTAAAGAGCTCATGAAGAGTAATGACATTGATGTTTAATATGTCACATACAGTGAAAACTCAGCTGATCTCTATACAAAATCACTTGCTACACCACCTTTCATATTCATAACATTAAAATGCGTCATTTACACATCATGTGAAGAATTACCGATGTTATCATCGGGGGGAGATACGCACTGTACTCTTTTTCCCTTCACTAAAATTTTTTTCCCACTGGGTTTATTTTAACAAGGTTTTTAATGAGGCAGTATTACTAGAGTAATTTATTTTATCATTCAAGGGGGAGTGTTTTAAATAAGTGAATGACAAAAGAGTAAAAAAACAATCACCCACTCGAATAATTACATTAAATGGGAAGAAGGAAAATTGAGGCCAAATGTCTGCCAAAGT